AAAAAAAAAACGAAGAAAACCAAAAAAAGGCGATAAAAGGTAGCACTATTAAGGCTCCACTCCATTTTTTCCCCTACACACACACACACACACACACACACACACACACCAAACCAAACAAGAAATGGAGCACCAATAGTGCCACTTTCCTAATTACCAATAAAAACAAAAAAACCAATACATTCCCATAAAAATCTCTTTCACTTCCCGACCGTTTTTGTCTTGAAGGCACCAATAGTGTTCTCATGGATGACATCAAGAAGCACGGTGCTTTTGCACTTGGGGCACCTCGGATCCTCCTCGGCTAGCATCACGTACATCAGGCACCTCGGGCACCCGACCAGCATCATCGACGTGGCCTCCGGGCTCGACGAGTACCGATCCCAATCAGCGCCAGCCTGGCTCCTCTCTGACGAGACGCACGAGCTTTGTGGGGATGTTGGGGACACAGCCATCGGCTGGCCCGGGGACTCGGGCCGGGGCCCACGGAAGCCCATCACGGCCCTTGGTGGGGACAGGTTGAGCTTGAGGTCCAGCTTCGGTTGGTCCCTGCGGCTCATCGTCGCTTTCTCGCCTGCAAAAGTTTAAGGAGTCAGTTGGTGTATTTACGCGTGTGTGTTTTTTGTGATCGAGTGTGTGTGTGTGTACCTGTGAAGGGGCCTTATAGAGTTTGTAGCAAGAACGTAAAGCTGGAGTTGAGGTTTTCTTGGTTTGGGAGACCTCAAAAGGGCATGGTATTTATATAAAAGGGATGGAGTGAATAGGTGGGAGAGAGAGAGAGAGAGAGAGAGAGAGAGAGAGAGAGATGAGAGAGATGCCTTAAAGGTTTGTAATAAAAGTTTTATGGTGAGAGGAGGGTAATGAATGGAATTGAATAGAGTTTGGAGGAGGAAAATTGTATTAATTGCATTCTTGGAAGGGAAGATTTGAAGAGGGAGGGAAAAGATGGTTTGCTGTGAAGGGTAAAATTTTGTAGTGAGTGAATACATTTGCCATAAAATCTGCTGAGGAAGGCCGTCATTCATTGCCCAACTAGTTGGTGTGTGTGTGTGTGTGTGTGTGTTTTGAGGAATGAGATTTCCTACTTTGTGTTCCACTCCGTTGGATTAACGACACGTCAGTGATGATGTCATATCTGTACACGTGTCGTCAATTGGTGGAATACGAAAATGGAACAAGAAAAAGTGGAGAGGAAAATCTAAACCCGTGTTTTGAAAGGTTTTGTGTGTGTGTGTGTGTGTTTTGAGAGGTTGTGTGTGTGTGTGTGTTAGATGCATGCAGTGATATACATACAACAAAATACATAAAAAGCTCAGCTGTAGCAGAAGCCATTAAAGCAGACCTTAATTTCTAACAAATCCAACCACACACACCTATTAATTAAATTATTTATTTATGTAAGAATGGCCAAAGGTGATGCTTGATAATTAGGAGCGTAAATGAATTGTGTTGGGATTTATTAATGACTGGACAATTATATTTTCTCAAAAAGATGCATAAATGATATGTCATATTTATATTTTATTTTATAGTGTGAAATTTAAGAAAAAAAAAATAATAAAATAAAAAGGAGAAATATTTTGTAGCTTATGATATCATTTTTAAGTTACCAAAATCCTGGATTTAGTTACTACAATTGATACGTGTTTTCCATGTTATGATATCATTCATGATTGACCTTAATTTCTGGACTTGAAGTTGATGATATGTGTCTGTGGCCGCCACAAAATTTTACTATTAAGTAAAAGATTTTTTTACTGAACGGGCCGGGCCGGGCCGGGCCGGGCCGGTCCAAGGTTGATGTCACATTTACTCTGATAATTAATTAGTGAATAATGTTAGAATTTCTTTAAAGTGTTTGGTACCAGAAATTGACTCTATCTGGCCTTTTCTAACTCGGTTTTCTACTTTTATTTTTATTATTATTATTATTATTATTATTATTATTATTATTATTATTATTATTATTATTATTATTATTATTATTATTATTATTATTATTATTATTATTATTATATAAATGTTTGTTATTAGCATAACTTAAGAGTTATTTACATTTTAAAAATTAAACTTTTGAACATTGAAATTTTAAACAAATGCTACAAGACCTTTTGGCGCCATCATGGACATAGACAATTCTAATTATGTTCTGATTATAGAATAAAATTCAAATGTTTTATTGGAAAATAATATTGAAAATAATTTATATATATGATTAGTTTTATTCATAACAATTAACACACATATACAAAAAAATAAAAAATAAAAAAAAAATAGTAATAATCAAATGCAAACATTATTTATGCTAACATAGCATTTTTCAATTAACCATGCCATTTTTTTTAATGTCCAAATAACTATAAATGTTTTTTATTTCTAAAATTTCAATTGTTACCACTCTTAAAAGGAATCAATACCAATGTAAACGAGTTTAACTCAACCATGTTGTTACTCAAATTTATATATTTATTTATTTTACTTATACTAATAATATTTGGTACTTATTTAAACAAACTTTTGTAAAAAAATAAATTATACCTTAATTATAATTTGAGGCAAAAGAGATTGAAACGTATAATTACTTGCGAGTGCGCGAAATGTAGTACGAACGTGGATAAACAACGTAAATAGCGGAAGCAATAAACCGTTCAGTTCTCCGACTTGATAAACAGTTCACACTTGTATAGTTTGGACTTACACGACTCGAACTCCCTTCTAGTTTAGCCACAACTACACACGATCCTATCAACTACTTCTCCGGCCACGTCCCGTGGACTTTACA